AGGAGGAATACAAACACTTGAAATACACTGAAAAGATGGGGTTAGGAAAGTAAAAATACATGTAGAATTGAATCTGGGGTGAAGTCTCTGAAGAAAAATGATGCAAAGAAACATGAATTATTAAATTTATTCTTAACTACAGTTATTTTCTAAATTTATGATAGGAATTTTACTGAGAATACTATTCGTAATCTAATACTATTTGAATTATACCAGTATTTTTTTTTTTAACAGGCAGATGTAAACTCTATACATGTTTATTTCTTACTCTAAAAATGAAACTAAAATTTCTTTGATGAAATTTTTAACTAGCAAACTATTTTTGGCCAATTCCATCTGTTGTTAGATGCTTTCCAAACTCATTGAAAGTGTCCAGATGTTACAGCGATGAAGGCCACAGAAACATCTAGATATTTAGAGGCATAGAAAGTCTGCTCATCTAGCTCTTGCCTGTTTAAAAGGGAGCTTGCTTGTGCTATGTTAATTCAAACATAATTTGAATTAATGGTTTCCCTCACTGTCCCAAATTATTAGCAGTATTGACATTACAGTTTAGATGGAATTTTGAAATTAAAAAAAAAAAAAATCACACAATTGGAAAGGTAAAAAAAAAAACCCTTAAAATGTATTTTATTTATTTTTTTTAAGAAATGCATAAATTAGTAACTATCAGATTTCAAGAGAAAGTGCTTTTTGAACAACCTTGCATTGTTTATCTTGTAAAATAAAAGACAACTAAATGTGTAAGTAAAATTTTAAACCATGAAACATGGGGGAAAATATATTTTATTTTTAAATATTATTGCTACAAAGCATTGAAGGCCAAAATGAGCATAAATTCAGAAATAATTTGTGGCCCAACTTTCGATGTCAGGTTTGGACAGGTGACTTTCATTATTTCATTATAGTTGCTGGGGATGCAGATGATTAAGAATGAGCCATTATTCAGAGAATGCTTATCCATCCATCATTAAAGAAAAGAAAATCACACCGAAATTCTTCGGTTGAAATGATTTGATCTTTATTTGAACTGGATAATTGTTTTCAATTATTTGTTTTCCAAAGGCAAACTATACTGCATACTTACATTATATTTTATCAACTTTTGTTAATTTAGAAGCTATCTTTACACTGTCTTCAAATATGTTGGGTATTATTTAATTTTAAGAAAATTGTTTTCAAACACTTGAAAGTAAAAGAATGAACACATACCAAATGGAGTAGACAAGAATGAGCACCAGAAAACACAGGAATAATGAACTGTTCTTTTTCTAAGTCAGACTTTCCTTTCTTGTTACATTGAGTCAGTAGGTCAGGTATCAGAACCTATATATTTCAACATTTTGCGGTTTAATTAATAAAAATAATGTATCCTGGCACAGAAAAAGGAAGAAGCAGCATCTAAATTTTCTTCCCTAGTGGCTGCAGCATGTAAGTGGCTGTTTAATTTGAGAAAGCAGCTTGACTCACATAAATTGATCATAAAGGACTTAAAACCCCTTACTTTGGCTTACTGCTGTTCCATGTTAACCCCTTTCTGGCAGTAATCCCTATATCACTTCTTTCGATGTCTCACCCACTTCAAGTATCTTCTAAATATATTTTATTTAAGTCAATGAAAACTTTTGGTTATGGTCTGATATTTTTATCTGTATTTTATTAAGAAATGCACAAATGATAGTGAAAAAAACAGTTATCAAAAATGATATATGGACCTTTCTCTTTCCAAAGTACCTGATTTTAGGTCTTGTATTAGTTCACTTTTTTCAGTGTTATATACTTTTAAACTGAAGGGCTCACAGGACAAAGCTAGAGACAAAACCAATATTGGAATATTTAAAAAACACACAAATAGACCTTGGAATTTGACTCACTATATGGTAAAATTACAGGTAAATATTTTATAATAACCCATAAAAATACAAATATAGCTTAACAATTCCATTTCTACAGTTTTCCCAAGATACTGCTCTTGATAACAATTTTGTGTGCTTATTATGGGAGCCTCACCTCTTGCCTGATTTTTCTATACAGAGTTAAAAACTTAATTCAAAATAGGAAATAACAGCAAGTCACAAGGAATTTTTCTTGTCTCAATGGAAAAATGAAACTGAGTATGAAAAACAAAATTGATAAAAGTAAAAATGTGACAGAAACAATTAGTTTGATTAAAATCTTGTTAGTTATCTTCAGTAACAGCAAAGAGAAGACTTGAATCCAGATAAATATTATTTTGAAAACAAGCAGAACTATTAAAAATGTCAATTATTAATTTTCTGGAAATTGAAGGAGAAATTATGAAGAGAATTCAGCATCTTACTTATAGACAGTTCCTCTTAAAAAATGGACAAGAATCTTTGGAAATATCTCAGAAAAACTTTTGTTTCAAATTTTTGTAAATATAACATCTAATCTTTTCCTTCAAAAAGATACTTTCAGAAACTGAAATGAGTATATGATAAGATCATGAGTAAGGAACATAGAAACTGCCGGTTTTTAAAAAAATCAGTCAAAGAAAATGTTGACAGGCTGAAGACAATGCAGTTTTAATACACTATTTTTAAAGCTTTAAAGGTATATAATTAATTGAAAGAATTGGAGGTGAGAGCTTCATCTTCTATAACTGAAACTACCAAATGAAGGTATTGTAGAACTTTTGGCAGACAAATAGAACCAAGTAGCAACATATTGGAATATTTATTCCAAAATGTCTAACCTGGATAATGAACAGGAACTGCTTCAGTTTCTCTTTCAAGGTGTTCCAGTACCTAAACCACCTTTATACATGATAGATCCTAAGTTGTTTTCCCCTCTACTGCTTGTAGTGTTGGATATAAATGTTTTCTAGGTACTAGGATCAGAACTAACCCAAAAATTTGCTTTTCTTTTCACTGATTTACAAATATTGAAAGTGAAACACCTGTAATTCAAATATGCTATGCAAAACTCTGAACTTCAGTGCAAAAATATGTTTTGCCTTTAGTTGCTCTACTATAATGACTTTAAAAATATTTTTTTTTTTTGATTCAATAGATGTATTTTGAAAAGTGTTTGTTGCCTTCAGTCAGTTGCTCATTAATTTCATTATGAAGCTATATTCAACATTAACATTCTTTAAAAAAAAGGTAGCATTCCAAGGTAAGTAAAAGTTACAGAGGATTATCAACAAAATTAATTAATAAAGAACAGTCTATAATAACATGCCTGGAATTATGAAGTAGAAAATTATCCTGAGAACTTAGATGTGTTGGAGAGGGCACAGAATTTGAAAGTAGAAAATAATTCAACAGCAGAAAAATTGTTTTTAATTACTTAATTACTAGAATTTTTTAATGATTATATGTATATGTATGTCTTCTCTACCTTCATTGTCTCATTTAGATGTATTTTCATCATTTTACTGCTGTAATGGTATGAAAAATAACCTGCATTCAGCACCAGCACAGCTGACTTAGTTATTTTTAAAACCATACACTAATATATATTTTGTTTTCTCTCTTTTTTTTATCCCCCCTTTCTTATTCTATTCCCTCTGTTTTGCTTTGGTTTGTTTTTTGTCTTGGCTACTGGTGCCTCTTCCTTCTTTTCCTGTCTATTTGGTCAGTTGTTTTTGGCCAGTTTGTGTTTTTCCAGACATCACTCCATGACGTTGTGGAAGTATACGATGGCCCAGGAAAAAAAGGATTCTTGTATTTGCTTAGATTCATCTCAGGCAAATATGTGAAATCCACATTTTGAACTAAACACTTCAAAATCTTTGCATTGGTGAGTGAAATGACATAAAATAGCTTTTTTAAATATTTTTTAAAGTTTTTTTTCTTTTGATATTTAGCTAATATCGTGGGTACTTAGGATTTCTTACTCTGTGCCTTTGCTTTATCTAGTGAGTAATTTTAAATAAGCAGTAGATATTTTAAAGGGAAAGCAAGGCATATTTGTACCAAAGTAAAATTAAATTGATTACATTTTGAGTCTATTTAAAGAGGTTGGGGAGTTGGGTTCTTGGATTCTTGTTGGGTTTGTTTTTTTGTTTTCCATTTTGGTTTCATTTTTCTGTGTTATTGGCGGGGGGAGGGGGTGTTGTGGTGTGGATTGTTGTTGTTTTTTTCATTGTCATTGGTGGTTTGTTGGTTTGGTTTGGTGTTTTTTTGGGGAGGGGCTTTGTTTGTTTTTGGTAAAGGAAAAAGCCAACAAATATTCCTAGTAACTAAGTTTTAACTCCCTTTTTCTAGAATGACATAATACTGTCAACATAAAATATTAAAAGTGCATGTATCTTGCAAAGTTTAGTGAAGCAGAGCAGGGTGTGGACAGTAGTATTTCTAGCTCCAAAGATGTTGACAGGTGTTCTCTTTAGTAAAAAGTGGCTATGATTGTATTTTCATTGTTTGAGTAGGTGAATCCCTCCCATTGAGTTCGGGGAACCAGATCACAGTCAGATTTACCTCAGTTGGACCAATAACAGCTAAAGGATTTCATTTTGTTTATCAAGGTGAGACAACCTAGAAAAAATGTTTACATTCACTCTGTTCATCATAGTTTGTAAATCAGCAGAGAGAAACAGACAGAATGAAGAGGAAAGTAATAGCCTTTTA